CAGAGACATGTTTTGTGGATGCTTGTTCTTGCGCATAACAAGTAATTAGACAAATAGTCTGAGTTCTCTGCCCATCTTTCTTTTGCTGCATGCAATTTCCCTAAGTCTTCCAATTTATCTTGGCAAAGATTATGGCTGGCATGAATATTACATAAGTAGATGATTTGAATATTACAAGACCATTAAATGTGAAAGATCAGAGATGGAGAGGATAGATAGTAGAAAGAGGAAAGGAACTGTGAAGTTTCTTGCTAGGGGGGATAGAGATAAATGATAAAAAAGGCAAATATGGTTATCAGTTGACAAAAGCAATCTAATCCTAATTATTTGTCATTGCTACTCTGTCATGTGCCTAGGTTAGCTAGTAATTTTTCTGGATCAAATGAAGAAATGGATCCATATCAGGATAAGAGTTATATTTCTGGTATTCTTTTGTGCTGGAATTGTGCTACCTGACCCAAAACAAAGACAATTGTCAGCTGCAGTGGATATCTTAAAGTAGCACTGCGCTGTTACYAATGCTTTAAAAGAAATTGCCACTTTAAAAGAATGATAAATAATACCTGATTAAATGTTGGTATAAATGTTCTTCTGCTAGTTTCCTYGCAAAATTTAGAACTTGTCAGTTTAATTACTATTTTTTTAGCAGACTGACATAACTGGATATATTTAAGTATGAAATAATGAAGTCAAAAAGTATACCTGGAAAAAAATRGTATTAAAATGGGTGAAGAGTCGAAAGAAGTCCTAGTTCTGAAGAACAGATTATGTACTTGACCAGTCTGTCTCCAAACTTATCTCAGTTTCTACTTGGGCCTTTATGATGGAGACTTKTGACTTTCCTGTGTGTATCTTTTAGCATTAAAATGTCTTATGGGGRAAAAAAAAGCTACTGGACTAGAAGGCTTAGAACTAAGAGCAGCTCAAACTCTAGCACTAGATATATCTGTTCACTGAGTTTCATTTTCCCCACCTGCAAAATGGTGTTGATCTGTAAAACACATTGTGGTCTGCAGGTAAAAGTGCTGAGAGCCAGGTTACATTAATGGTCTTAGTAGCATCTATTCTAAAGTGTAATRTTTGTATTGTGTTTGACACAGCATGACAGCATTTAATTTGGCAGTGTTCTGCCAGCCAGTTTKCTCTGTCATTGTGGCATTTCCCTCTATTTCTTCAGGATATGCAAATCCCCTATACTGCTCTTAAGAGTGGATTGTGCCAGTGGCACCTGGCAAAACAGCCTTCCCAGTGCATGGCAAATCAATCGGAAAATATTTGTTGCACTAACCACTAATYCCACCTTCCCTCTCATTCCTATAAATTCTTACTAAGATCTCCTTTTATAAAGGAGGAGGAAAACTTAATTTTGATCAAGTTTTTATGAATGAGAAGTCACCATTTCATCCTCTCCCAGCAAATATGTGTTTTAGTGTAAATAATAAGCCCAGTAGCTCTTGACTAGCATTCCCATGAGGAAGCAGGTTCTGCTGGAAGGTGAAAAAACAGGTTCTTCATTTTTCCTGTGATCTCACTGCCATGCACTCTTTGTTTTTACAAGACAGAAGCCAATTATTTTATGTATATCAGAGATGATTACAGATTCAGGTCTAGGAGTTTAATACCAAATAAGTTAATTAAAAAATTTATGCAGATTAGTGAATCTGTCACATTTAGCTGCACACTGTGTTTTGCTGTTTAAATGATAACCAGTTGGCTTTCTGTCCACTGCAGTACCCAAACTTCACTTGGTACTGAGGTCCTACTCTATTCACTGCGGTACCTGTTAGGGGAAGTTAGATTATTTTCTTTTTCTGMTTGAGTGTATTAACAATAGGACTACATAAATGGCAGTTTTCATCCCTATTTTGCTGGAAGAAAGCTAGCTTGCATTAGTTAAGCCATGATAACTTGATTATGCCAACGACAATTCTGGATCCAGTAGCACAGATATCACTGACAAGACAAGAGAGAAGAAATATCTTCAGAATAGATTTCATCTTTGACTGACAGTACCTCCAAGTTCTTCCACTCACTATAGTTTAGAGTCTCTTACTTCCTAAAGTGTTTTAATAATTTTTAAACTCTAGTGATGAAAGAGATTGATCAGAATGTTTTTAGCCTCGAGCATTCACAAAATAATGTGTTAAGTTCCTTTAATATTTGACTTTAAATACTATAGGTTYTAAAAAATTCAGCATAGTGAAGTGATGCTTTCAAGATTTTCTTTCTTTTACTGGAGAAACCTATTAACTGTGGCTTTTTGATACAGTTTATATTTTAAAAAATAGCTTTTTTGTTAAGGTAAGTGGTGTTGATATCCAAGTAATAAGAATTAAGATAAAACTGCAAAATGCAACAAAGAAAACCATGATTCATTACATCCATTGGCCAGCAATAGCAGGCTAGAAAGAGTTAGTGAAAGGCTTTGTTACCTTCCCAGCTGTAGCTAAGTGCTAGTAAGACATTAAGGGGAATTAAATATTGCAGGTGAAATTGGAAAGAGCAGATAGAGAGGCTGCTGCCAGGGGGTGGATTAGAGAAACTGCAAAAAGAGAAATACTAAAAGAAGATTGCTGTGTGAGAAGCAAGAAGGTGGCTAAAGCTGATATGAAAAAAAATCTTTCTTCTTATTGTATGCCCTGTGGTTGAAATTCCCCACAACAGGAGAGCTAGGGTGCATTACCTTATCTTAGTGTAAAAATGTCAGGATTTATTGAGGCTTGGACTAAGGGAGACTCAAAACTAGATTTACTGCTGAGTTTGCATGAGCCACCAGGTTGGTCCAGGAGATTGGATTCATCATAGTGAAAGCACTGCTGGGATGACAGCAGGGAGGTGTCACAGATGTTGGTGAAGCCCTGCAATGGCATTATSAGAAGATACTCAGAAGCCTTCTTTGGGCCTTATGAGTTCCACTGGAAGCTATTGTATGAGGCTGGAGAAGGGAAAGATGAGTTAGTCTTTCCTTGTTTGAAATTATTGTAGTAATGCTTTTTTTTTTGTCTTAAATGACTTAGATTGTACTTTGATCGGTTCATGATACACAGGTTTGGAACCTATGGAGCTGGGGCAAAAGAAAAAACGAACACCTTAGTACAGCAGTAGCTTTGATTTTTGATATAGAACTTAATTCAGTCTTTCTTATTGTGATGCCAACCTCAATCTCTTTTCCTTCCATCTAGGCCATGTGTTTATACAGTGGGATCACCAATAAACAACAGAGCCCTTTTCCCATGCCAAGAACCACCCATTGCCTTGTCAACATGGCAAGCCTCAGTCCGTGCAGCTGCAGGCTTTGTTGTGTTAATGAGTGGTGAAAACTCGGCAGAAYCAGTCCAGCTTCCAGAAGGTGAAACACATTTTTTATGACAAAATATTTTCAATACTTTTATAATTAAAATAAAGCTTAGTAAATACATGACTTGTGAAAGAATGAAGTTCCTAACCTTAAAATCTCTTCCATGTCTCTCTGTAATCTCTGTGTCATTGTGTGGAAATTTTACCTGCTCAAGGCTCAGGATAACTTCTTAAGTGTCCAAAGTATCTTCACTTCGGCATTTCAGTGTGTTGCTTGCTTTTTTCACCTCTCTGTTTCCAAACCTAGATTTCACTTTCCATAAAATGGCTTTGTTTTAATCAGTGTAGTCAAATGTTTCGTAGATGAAATGCCTTACCATGCTATCAACAACTTCAGGCCTTAATTATCTTCCAGTTTTAGATCTCCAGTCCAAGTGTAGTTCAGTATGTGATTAGAAGCAGCCATTGTGTCATATCTGTTTCCTGAAACACATGAAATAGCTGAAGAGTATCAGGTCAGTGCCCTGAAAATCTGTTCTCTGGGGTGGTTTTTTGCATTGATAAAACATACCTTTTTCAACAGTAAGCAAACAAGCATTTCTTCTGTGTGGGTTATACTTTATTATCTGAACTTCTTTCTGCACAGAGAACCAAGTTTTTAAGGCAGTTCTTTACATGCAGTAAAGTATGTCTTGCTCACATTAGTTTTGTGTCAAAATTGAGTCAGTATTTTACAGCTTAAGTAGTTCTAATGAGAAGTAGTATAATAATCATAGTAATTGTAACYTTAACTATATGAAAAAGTTATGATTAAGTTTTTTTCTGGGGGAAAAAAATCTTCTGTTCCCCCTTTAAATAGGCAGATTTATTCTTGAAGGGGGGAAAAAAAGAATTAAAGTCTCCTTGATTTGAGAACCATCAGTTAATCCATTTGCATGGAATTGTCTGGTTTTATTTGGCCATATGTGAAGCCTGTTTCAGAGCTTCTTTCTGCTGCTGAAATATGGAAAACTGCCATGATTAGCTGCTCAGCTCACTCAGAGAATAATAATTTCCTGTCTCAGCATCAAGAAAGCAGGAAAACTCTTGACCTCAGACTATGATAACAGCTTTGCCATCCGYGTTTAACTAGTTTAATGAGAGACCCTCATTATCTTGTTTACATACAGCTGGAAATGACAAACCAGMAAGCTGTTTGGAATTGTGAAAATTKACAAAACTAATACAGAGGCARAAAGAGAAAGGAGTAATGTTGTGAGAAATGTTTTAACACCCAAGTAAACCMAAGATTTAAGTGCTAATCTGAAGCCTTGTAAGGTAATTCTGAATGAATTACTAATGAATTTAGGAATACAACTTTGTTAGTTTAATTAATAGGACTTTTAAGAATTAAAAAGTTTGAAATGTTCTGTTGTTTTAAATAACTTGTCCACTTAGATTTTGTTGTTTGGCAGTTATGGAAGGTATATGCAATGTATGCACCTTAAAATTTTTGTCTTTACACACTAAAAAAGCCTTTCAGGGTAGCKTCAATTAAAATAAGCTTGCCAAATTATTTACATACAGTATACTATTGCTGTRCTGCATATTTATAAAATTATATATAACTGGCAGAATAGTAAAATATTTTTTAAAAATGCAATTTATTGGAAGGAATTAGCATTTTGGTAAGCAGTTAATAAGTTTATTCTCAATAGAATTACAAGTTAGCTGAGTGGTTTTTTTCCTTTAAATATTTAAAACCAGTGTGCAAGCAGGCAATATGAGAACAGCAAGGAAAGTTGATTCCTTCATGGTTTTTGAGATCTGCATTCTGCTTCATAACTACACATATCTGCAGTGCATAGCTGGGCTATGTCTCAAACGCAGATTCCTCATTTACCACTTGTCTTTGCAGATTTAAGCGTGTATTTCATGCCATATGTGCCATTTTTGCATTCKGCCCTCTTTCAAATGACAAGATCAACTTGTTACGAATAGAATGAGGTCGTGTTTGTTTGAAAATAGTGACAGAATACTAGCATAAGCAGAAATTGTAACTATTTGAGTATGAGCTAAATGTGCTTAAAATACCTTCCATTCTTTATGGAGTACTTAGAGAAGAGAAATTGATCAGAAAAATACAATTAATAATGCCATTTGGGAGAAAGATTGACAGGAAGCAACATACATGTGTATGTAATGTGAACCATTTAAAAATTGGATTTATTTTTCATCACTTGTCAGTTTTACTTTCCTTCAGCGTATTACTGTAATACGTAGAAGGGGCAAATACATTTAGTCGCAAACACYTTTCTATTTGTCCAGTTCATATTCAAGAAGTAGATACTCAGCCATTTAGTGTGAAATTGACTGGCTTGCTTTTTGTGTGGTTACTATTTTGTAATCATTATCTTGTTTTGACTCTGCAGTGAAAGTGAGGAGTASACTGATACTAAGAGAAAATATGGTGCTAGAGAAGCCACTGCTRCTGTTCTGTGGTAGCAGAAACAGTTGCTTTTGCTTGTGCTCCTCTCACTTTTCATGAGACAAAACATGAGACAAAGAGTGCAGTACTTGTGTACAGCAGGGGAGTTGAGAGCTCATCATGTGCCACTCATTCGTCTGAKCCAGTGCTGAACTAATGCTCTGGCATCAGTGTGAGGGAGCTCTGTGGCAAGTTCTGGTTTTCAGATGAGATCAAAAAAATTCCAAAAAATTACGAAGAGTTTCAGCCAAACAGTTATTTTTTCATAACTACTTATTTAGCTGCAGGTTTAAATATTAGCAATAGCTCTTACCTTGTATATCAGTTGCTCTTTGGGGCTATTCCTCCTTTTCCCCAGAGGTAGTTGAGTTTTGTGGGTTTTAGTAAATGGTAAATATCAGCTGTATTTTGTGGTGTTTGTGTTAGTGCAACCTATTTGATGCAAAATACACTGGTAAGTAAAAACATTCATCATATTCTTGTATCTGGTATTAATAGACACAACTCAGGCTTTTTTTTTCGGTTATAATGAMCTGAACGGGACGCAAACAATTTTAATTATTTCAAAGATGTAATATGCAACAAAAATTCTAGGAAGCAATTACATCATTCATATTATTACTTCAAGTAGAAGAAATAAACGACCTTTAAATTGTTCTTTTGCACAATTATAAATAGATTAAAATTTCCTGCTCTTGTTAAACATTTGTGTGGAAAGTATTTCAGTTTTAACTCATAGGTGATTGTTGCCTAGTGGTTTGTGCAGTTTTGACACAATAGATTTGCTTTGCAGAACTGAAAAAAAAAATAATTTTTTTTTCAGAATTATTGGTACAGAAAACAACAAAATGTTTTGAAAGTATTTTAATTGCCTAAAATAATTATGTRTAGGAATCGAGTTGTTCTGAAATTGCATTACAAATAGGACTTGGGTGATCTACCTCTTTTTTTTCCCATGGACTAACCCCCGCCCAAACTCTCGTTTCTCCCAATGTATTTTTGCCCAGTCTGAAGATGTTTTTATGGTACAAAATGCTGTGTTTGGTAAGGAAAGCCATCTCCCCGTTTCAGCTGCGCTGTTTTCTGTTATCCTAGAGGTGGAGCTGTCTCCAAGGTAGACACCGAAAAAGTGCAGCTCAGGCAGAGGACAGGAGGGAAGCAAGAAGCGGTTGAGTGAAGCTTGTGATCCCAGTCTGTGTTCTGGATTGATCATAGGATACAAATAAAGGAAAACAAAACAAAGCTCAATGACGGGAAGACTGTGTGAGGAAGGAAATGAAGTTATGGTAGAGGTCAGGCTGGGAGACAATCTTATCAGTAGTGAGAAGGGAAGACACAAGGTCAGTGAGTTAGACAAGCTGTCTTTGAAACCGTGCTTCATGGTTCTCTCTAGAGAGAACTTCGGCCACTATAAAGACCATTTCAGGCATTGATCAGCAATTGCACTATTTTAAAACCTGGAGGATTTTATAGCAAGAGCGCACTTGTTATGCCTGTGCATGTGATTTCAGTCAACAGCAGTAGGATGAATATASTCGTATTTTACACAGTTCTAGAGTATGAATGCAGAAAACATCAAACAGCACTGTAGAAAATGGGTTGATCCCTGGGTAGGTATGCAGAGACGTTATAAAGCTTGAATCTTGCTCTGGGAGAATYCATAATTCACATGATTTCTAAAATCCTTGCAAAATAAGAGGGCCTGTGGTACCTTCACTCACTTGCATGGGCTCAGCTCTGAATAGCATATGTTCATTGCTAATCTGTGTTAATTTCTGAATGCAGTACATGCTGCTATTCTCTCTGGATTACTAATTTRATTGCCATTCCTTTTTAATATTCCATTCAAGCTGTTGATGGGGAGTTTTTTTAGAAAAAAACCTCTAGTATCTTGCTTGCTGTCTGAGCTCTGTTTGCTTAGCACAGGCCAACACCCTTTCCTTTTAGACAATCTCCTCAGTGTTGTAAGAACCTGCTCCTTTATTRAATCTCATGCCATTTGGAGCCATTTTCTGTGACTGCTTTTTGACTTCCATGCTCTTTTCAGAACATAGTTGAAAATACATGACAGTTTTTCTATTACAATTCCTCAAATTTACACTTTTCCCTGCTGTTATTGAATTCTTCAGATTTTACAATTTAACATAATTTAGCATGGAGCGTTTTGTAATGCTTTATAGCATTTAGATGCAACTCGAATTGCAGAACCTCTGAGCCTTGTCTTGTATGCATGTAAGCCAGTGGCAAAGCTGCTACTAACTATAGTGTGTKCAGTCTTGGGTCTCTTGCACAGTGTCTATCAAGAAAACTCTGTACATCAGGAGTCTGGTATTTGAAATAGTATATTGTTGCTGTCCTGGWTGACCTTTTCCTCTCAAGGTGGCGTTTGCTTGTCTTGGCTTATTTGTAGCTTTGTAAAGTTAATAATGACAAAAAGGCCCAGTGAGGTTTGTCAAACAGTTTTCCTTCTTGTTCTTAAGGTGTTTGGAGCAAATAAGTTCATTCTGCTTACATCCTGACAGGAGCTTGGGAAAATGACAGGAGTAATATATGTTCACCTGACAATACAGACAAAAGGTTTTTGATGGTGGATGTTGTCTAAAGTGGAACGGGGGGAAGGGCTCTAAGTGGTTTCTAGACACTATATAAGGCAAAAGCTTTATTTGCCTTTCAGAAGACTTCACAAACAGTATTGTTTTGTCATACTGAATAGCAGGTGGAAAATTTGTTATGGCTAAACAAAAGATTTTTTTCTCCTTCTTTGGGCAGGCTGACCTTCTTTGGTCATTAAGGTAGGAAACCAAGAGATGGTTTGCAGCAGCTGTCTGTTTCCTTTCCTCTATGCCTTGTGGTCTCCATTCAGTTGTGTTTTTTTTCCTTTTTTTTTTTTTCGTTTGGTAGTGTTCCATAGGCCTAGTCAGAATACTCTTGCAAAAGAACAAGTATTAAGGGGCTCTCAAAATAACTGAAGTTTGTATGTTTCCACTGTTGCCTCAGCTACAGTCATTTGCACATGATTCATCGCATTGTAACTCATGCTAGGCTCTTGTCAAGAGAATTAATCTATTAGTATGGCATAGTAACTTTATTATGGCCATAAATAAATATGTGATGTGATTTGTAAACTATATCATTTTTAAAGAGACGAACAGAAGATGTAAGCAACATTTATACTAATGAAAAGTACGCTGTTCTAAAGCATCCTCCACTTTATCAAAATATGTTTGTACATACAGTCATCCTATACCATTCTCTTTGTCTTCCCACCCTGTGTTCCATAATGATAAAACTTAGCATGTTTTTACCTTCCAATRAATTTTTGTCTTGTTTTAGCACCTKCTGGGTAACATGACCAAATTGTTGACTTGGGTAATATCCCATCTGAGTCTAAGATTTTATTTCTTACTGCCTGGTTGACACATCATGTACCTCCGATAGCCAGGTCTGAGTCACTAATTCAGGCATTAGTGTTATTTGTTATAGCTTGCCGATCAGTTTGGTACTGCCCCAAACATAAAGAAAAGGGTTTGGGTTGTGTGAGATAATACAAACAAGACAAAATCATAAGGTAGTAAGGTTAAAATAAAAGGTTGAAAGAATTGAATTGCCTTTTTTTTTTTTTTTTTTTTTTTTTTTTTTTTTTTTTTTTTTTTTTTTTTATTTTTTTCTTTTTTTTTTTTTTTTTTTGTTTGTGTTTGTGTATATTTAAAGGTGTTACTGGATTTCACATCTGATGTAATTCTTGGGCAGTAACTGTACAATCTTATTAAGCTGAATTAATAACATCCTACTTATGGATGATTTATTTACACATAAAGAYATCAGCAGTTAGGGAAAAATTGCAGGTGTAAATAAACAGTACTGAGTCCATGGTGGTTACCTACAACTGTTCTTAGATGTGTCCGTGAAATTATTTTTATTTCCTCCACAAAAATGCCAGAATGTAAGGTGGGAGATTTGGCCCAAAATCTCAAGTACATGAAAATATCCAGTACCTAATGTGTGCTGTAAGACTGATGAGTCTGTACAAATATTCTTTTGTTTACAGGTGTTTTGAGCTGGTACTACTACGTGTCTATGCCAATGCCAGCATCCACCTTCACTATTGCTGTGGGTTGCTGGCAGGAAGTTAAGCAGCAGTCCTTCAAAGAAACAGCTGCAATTGAAACAAGCACCGAGCTTTCCTTGCCRTCATCGCAAGCTGATTTCGGGTTGGTGTTTACAATATCGTTGAAAAATTAGATATATGGGCAGTATTTCCATTTACTCTGTGGAATGTGAAAATGAGTCATAGTAGGACAGGAATCAAAATAGAGCTTGTTTAATCTCAACAAAAAAATCTGGGCAGGAAAATAATTCCCAAGGCGTTATTTCATGGGTATGGGTGTGGTTCTTTTGATGTGAAAACAAGGCTGCTTGGTGAGCAATAAGTGTGAGTGTTCATAAATCCCGTTGTCCTCTAGATTTGTATCCTACATCCTTAATACTCTGCTGCAGCAATACCAGGTCCTGTCTTGTTTCTGACAGTGCCTGACTCTAAGCTCTTTCATGTTGCTTGACTCAGTCCATTCCGGATACCAAATGCCTCCTCCTATATATTGCCTAATCACTTTTTTCCTTCAGCTCCAACCTCATTGCACAGTTAGAGCTGGCCTGTGCAGTGGTTTGCCTGGGGTGATGTGTAATGACCAGCTACATGAAAGACTTATTGCAGTGGCTGTTTCTTAGCTGTTTTTGACCAAACTAGTGGAAACGTGATTATTTYAGATACATCTGTTTCTCCTCCCAGTCTAGTCAATACTCAATGAGTATTGAGTATTTGAATTATTACAGAGTCGTGAATGAATAGAACTATACATGTCTGAAAGTAAGATTTGAAGATAGAAAATAGGTTTCTGAAAAATGTTATTTATTTTCACATGTCTTTACCTTAGCTAGCAGAAGTCTCAGACATGGGATTTGAGTTCCTCATATATTACTCTCAGCTTTTCAAATTCATGTCATAGCACCAGAATAACCAAGGTTGTAATGGGCCTTGAAAGTTCATCTAGTCCATTCTTTCATTCTTTCAAGAGCTCAGATAAAGACTTGTAACACCCATTGGCCATTGTATTGGCTGTATGGCTCGTTGTGAAGACAGAGACTCTGTGCCCTTTGGAGATGTCYTTCAAGTACTGAAATACTGCAGTGAGATTTTCTTTCCCCTTCTCTGAAAAGGCCTRGCTCCTTGTCTTTCCTCAGAGGGAGGTTCTGCAGCCCTGTGTTAATTTTTGTGTCTTCCTTGAATTGTGAGGACCAGAAGGAGACACAATGCTTCGTGTACTGCCCGACCAGCTGTGATCAGAGCACGGTGATCCCCTCTGGCTCTGCCAGCAGCGCCCCTGCAGCTGCAGCCCAGGATGAGATTTGCCTTTGTAGCTTCAGCTGCAGCCCAGGATGAGATTTGCCTTCATAGCTGCAGTGTCACACCAGTGACTCGTGTTCAATCGACTGTCCACCAGGAGCCTCCGTGCCCCTCCTGGCAAGGCTCCTCCCCATGCATGCAGATCCCAGCCTGGGCTCTTTGGTTCTTCATCCCAGATGTGGGACTTTGTGCTTGTCCCTGCTGCAACTCACACTGTTTGTGCCAGTCCCGCCCTTTCAACCTGTCTAGGTCTCTAGAGATGGCTCTCCTTTCTGATGTGTCCACCACAGCGCCCAGCTAACCTGGCGASGGTGCTTTCAATTCCATCATCCAGGACATTTGTGAAGATATTGAGCAGTGTGGGCCCAACATAATTTCTTGGGGAACTCTACTAATGACAGGCTGCCAGCCTAGTGGAAACTGGTATCACCACTCTCCAGATGTGGCTTGTGAGATCTTGCAGACCACCCGTCCATTTTTTGTCTTGCCAGTTTGTCCCAGGCTGTGGGAAACTGGCCAGTGTTTTGCAGAGGTCCAGGCAAACAACATCCATGACTCTCCCTAAGTCAAYAGGAATTGTTATTTTATTGTAGAAGGTGATTTGGGTCATAAATATTTTTTTGTTACTCAATTTGAAACTTTGCTGAAAAAATTCTTGTGTTTTAGATAGGTGTTTTGAACTATATGTTGTTAATATTAAGACAGAGGAARTCTTTATGAATTGGTGCAACTAGTGAGACTTTGGAACTTGAGGACTTGAAATGGTTTTTTTGTTGGAATTTAAAACTAAAGGAGTCTGGTGGCTTGCAGCTTAGCTGATTTTGTTTAAAAAATGTTAATTGATCTTGGGTATAGAAATTTTCATACTTTACCTCGGATCTGTAAGAAATGCCTCYTTTGGTTTTAAAATAATTTGTAGGTTTGATGAGCTTCTGTAAATTGTGTTTTGTTTATTTCTTTGCTATTTATGCTTTTATAAAATGGGTGCCTCTACAAAAGTAAGCTGTAGGTGTTCACTATGTATTCCCCTGAAAAGTACAGCATATTCAGTAGTAGGAATTTGTTAATTTGATGAAGAAGATTATTCTGACTCAGTGTTGATGGAATAAAGGAAAGTTTTTTATCGTAAAATTTCTGAAAAAGGGGAAATATTTTTGTGATTTTTTTTGGGTAGCAAAAATTTGTGTAAGTGTTAATGAGTCTGATGGTCATAGTTATGAGTTTATCTGTGTGATGGTTATTGGGTGAGTTAATTGACACAGATAGTATGATGTGTCTGCAGCAGTTAGTGTTAGTGGAATAAACAGAATTGAAGTGTCTTGGAAAAAAAAAGTTACCAAAAACAATGCAGAAATCCTCTGCAAATGTGGTGGCTATTGCCTGTAGACAAAAACAGAGACCCTAAGTGTACAAGCTTGTTTCACAGATAATCAGGACACAAAATCTATGTCTTTAAAGATATGCTCTTACAGTTATATGCAGTTAATCTTTGTTTGGGAGTTACTACAACAGAGATTGTTGCTTATTTTGGTCAGTGAGACCTGGTAACCAAACCAGTATTGTTCACAGTTGCAGACATTTCTAGAAAGGGCTGGAAGTGGATTGACAAGCAAATATTAAGCTTGTGTCTCAAATAAGATAGTGGTTATAAACTCTAGGAGAGCAGGAAAAGGAAGCAATTCTGAAAGAAGTTGTTGAAATKTGTGATGTAATTTGTATCCAGGTGCCAGTGAGTTTGACCTAAGAAAGCTGTATCAAAGTAAATGGAGCTAYGATGTTTATAACTTTTTTATCTTCTTGCGGTCATTAAGGACTTGGCAATTTTTATAAGAGATATGGTGCTAGCTTTCATGTTCCTTCCTAATCTCAGTTTTGATAATAAAATGCAAAGTGTCATTGTTTTAGAACAGAAATATACTGAATTAGCCCAGCCTTAGGAAAAAAAAATTTGGTAGTGACAGATGTGATTTCTTTACATATGTAGTCAATGAAAGGACTTAAGTCTTTCTCCCAGAGCARTGGACTTTATGTCAGGTATTAAAGTTTTAATACTTCAGCAAAATCTCATCCTTTTCTACATGTTATCATTTTGTTTTCTGTGTCAGCACTCACCTGGAGTGGAGCATGATCTTCCAAGTATAAATGCTTTGGGCAATGATGGATGCTTTGCCTGTCAAGGCATAGTAGAACCAGATTACTTAAACTGAAATTTTAAACCAAGGAGAGGCTGTGCATTGTAGAGAACACAGGCTAAGGTGAAAACATGAAGCTGATTTCTGTTTAGATAAGAGTATTTAGGCAGATGGCTTACTTAGAAGGTATGTGACTCAGTGTTTAGGAAGGATTTGATTTACCCCTTCTACCTTCCAGCTACAGCTCTGAATATCCTGTAAAAGTTCTATAAAGTAAGGTTGGCCTAAGGTGATATTGCTGAATCTCTAGTGTGACATAAACTGTTTTTTTTTTTTTACTTAATAGTAATTAAAAAAAAAAGTAGTAGAAGTTTCTGGAGAATTATAGTAACAACARAAAAAATCTTGCTTGGAATTACATTCTAATTACACCTAAAATATTTGTGTTAATATTATGTTAATAGGTACAGAATTTTATTTTCATAGCCAAGTTTGAATAGGAATTTTCTGAATAAATATTTTTGTATTCTTATTCGTTCTCTTTACATRTATTTTGAGCACTTATTCTTTTGATGCATATCTGTTACAAAAACAAGGTGTGACTAGTCTCTCTTTTTAGTTATCAGTTCTACTCAAACCTGTGGTAATGAGTATTTCAARGTGCTGCACATGTGTGAACAGGGTGAGAATGCAAATGAGCTGGTTCTATGGAAATTAGCTCTGTCATTCAGGTATCTAGAGAATATCCTTGTCTTAGCATAGTCAGTTGTGCACATTTCTGATATTCCAATTAACTATTGTTTTGTTTTGTTTTGTTATTGTCAGATGGCATGAAGAAATCTGCGGTCATATGGAATATCCCTGCCGTTTCCAGAATCCTGCTGCCAGGTTACAGGCAGTCATTCCTTACAGAGTCTTTGCTCCTTTGTGCCTTATGGAAAGCTGCGAAAAGTGTTTGCTTCAACTAATTCCTCAGTGTCTCTCAGCTGCTTATGCCACACTGGGWACCCACCCCTTTTCCAGGCTTGATGTTTTGATAGTTCCTTCCAACTTTTCCAGCCTGGGAATGGCTAGGTAAAGAAACTTCTTAATATACAATCTGCTCTATTTTGTTGCACTCCTTATCAGCTGGTTAGTGGTGTCAAGTTGCTGTGCTATTTTTCAATATAAAGTTGCTGTGCTATTTTTCTTAAACCAAGCTTAAAATTCTTGTTTTGACTTAATGTGAGTGACCTTTAATTTTAGTTTCAACAGGTCTTAGAGAAGGAAAATACAAGCTTATTAGACTTTGGGGTCTGAATTTCTGCATTGACCAAACTGAAGTTCTTTTATTGGTTCTGTTGATATGAATACCTGATGCTGCTGTGATGGTCTTGTTTATTTTTTTTTTTAATATTTTGACAGAACAGGAACATGTTAAAATTCAGATCTAGAGTTTCTTCTTAAATCTTTCTGATGTATGATTTCCTACTCAAACACTTATYTTCAGAAGCTGAAGAAAAATTGTAACAATTRTATAACCAAGTTTTCATGGAACTGTGAAGGCTCTCAAACTTTTCCAAGTCCCTCTGGGAGACATCCAGTCCCTCCAGTGACTGTACCACTCAGATTGGTGTTGTCAGCAAACTTGCTGTGTGCACTTGATCCCACTGTCATGTCACTTGAAAAGATGTTAAATATTGCCAGTGCCAGTCCCATTACTGATGCGTGAGGACACCTCTGGCCACTGATCTCCACTGGGACAATGAGCCATTCACTGCAACCCTTTTGAGTGTGACCATCCAACTAATTCCTTATCCGCTGAGTGCTSCTTCCACCAAATCCTTGTCTCTCCAGTTTAAAGACAAGGATGTTGCACAGTACAGTGTCCAGTGCTTTGCGTATGTTCAGGCCGATAGCATCAATTGCTTTTCCATTGTCCAGCACTGTTGTAATCCCATGTTAGAAGGCCACCAAATTTGCTAGGCATGGTTTGTTATTAATGCAGCCATGTCGGCTGTCACCAATCACCTGTTTATTTCATATGCCTGGTTTCTAGAAGGATCTGCTCCATGCTTTTGCTGGACTTTGAGTTGAGACTTACTGGTCTGTAGTTCCCCAGATCATTTTTCTATACCTTTCTGAAAAGCAGTTTTGTGTTTCTCTTTTTCCAGTCAGTGGGAACTGATGATGCCAATAAGATCAYGGCCCTGCATGCTGTGTTTATTCCCCATGTTGCATGTTAATAGCATAGGGGCTTTTAAGTTGGGCCCTTGAACAAACTGACTTCAGGTGCTGCCCTTCAGGTGCCCTTGTGCTGACCTCTCTTCAGGCTCTGGGCATCTTATGAGTGGGGTGGACTGAGGTTCCCCTTCCCCAGCAACTTTAATGTAAAACTCTTCACCAGCCTGAAGGTACTCTGAACCTTCTCTGACAGATGGACACCATCAGCAGGCCAGGTTTTTCAAAGTGAATCTCATGGTCCAAGTCGCCAAATTCCTGGTGTGACACCRGTCCTATAACCCTTTGTTGATTTGCCATCCTTGACTGGTCCTTTCAAGCTGTAGATTTTTTTTTTCCCTACAGCTTTCCTCTTGCAATCCTCTTTTGGGTTAAAAGTAGAGAATTATGCTGGCACATTAACCATATTGCATAGKTTTTAGGATAAGTTTACTTGCTTTTTTATTTTACGAAGATGTAGGAAATTTGAAACTTAAGGATTCAGTCACCCTTCTCTTTCATATAAAGCTCTTTGCTTTGTAGATAGTTTTTAGTGATTACTGAGTTTCCAGTGATAGTTCATCACTCAGTGAAAGCATCAAATTGTTTGGTGCCTCTACCACAAATTTTATTCTCTGTTGCTSTGCATGGTGGTTTGATTTGGAGTGAGGTGTGGCACTGTGTACCATATTCTTGAAGCCGTATGAAATTTGTAGMGTTGTTTAGCAGTTTTGTGTGATTCAAAGGCATGCTACTAAAGGGTTGACACAGGGAGTTATGCTATAATTGAGGAAGAAACTGGCCATTTTACTTAGCTGTGAGATAAGAGCAGTGGACTGTGGAACCATGAAAGGCAAGACATACAAATAGTACAAAACAGRAGAGAAAGCAGATCATGATGTCTGGGCCAAAATTACAGCACAGAGAAGGAGAAATCTTTAAGATTCAGCTGTTGATACGCTGTAACTCTTTGGAAGATTTTCAATGCCTTCCCTGCATGTACCTTTCCTAGAATTTATAGGGAAAAGATGCCTGCAGGGAATTCTGTTGCAAAACTATCTGTCATTATATGAGTCCAGACTGCATRTTCAGAATACTATAATTGTGTTTGGTTTGTGAAGAATATGAGAAAAACCTGTGCTTTTATTCCCCCATGCTTCTTCTAATCAGTGTCTATTCCAAGCGATCCATAACATTGAATATAAGAGGATTGAAGAATGGGTGTGCATACTTCCTGATGCCTGTCATTCAACAGCACATCAAGACAAAGACATTCAGATTTTTTAAAATGTAAATAGTTTAAGAACTAATATAAGCTGTTTAAATGTTGAGGTGTATTTGGRCAGAAGATTATTAATTGACTCATAATAGTTTACTGGTTCTTGTTTCTTGTGATCTTTCAAATAATAGCTTCTATGTATATAGCAAGCTACTGAAATGGTTAATTCTGGTGCATGCAATGATAATTGCCTAAATTGCTTAGGCTCACRATAAGCTGTGTGCTAAACCATGTCCAAACCCACATAAAGGAAAAAAGCTAGCTATAACCTTGGGTTAAAAAGGTTGCTGTAATATTATTTTTTATCTTCTAGTCTATCTGTGGCAGTACAAACATAATACAGCMTGCCAGCACATAGAAGCTGTTGTTATGAGAACTCTAATTGGACTCCTGTCTACCAGGGAAGGAAGCAGACATAAATGTTAGTCATTATCTGAAGTATTAGGGCTTTACAGCATTGGGCGCTTTTCTTTGTTCCTTCAAAGACGATACTATGCCTTTCCCATCTCAGAATATTTCTTTCTTTCTTCTCTTTATTTATTGTTTCCCARCATCTTAGATTGGTATCAAATTACAATTGTTCTTGCTCAGAGTTCTCTAATTAAACTCTCTATTTTAGTGGCAGCTACTGTGGGTCAGCAGCATTTCTCTTGAAGTCTGATGCTTCATGAGAAAAATTCTAGTTGAAAGCATAKTCATCTTGTGTTTTCTGTACATATTTGCCTGTTTTTAAATTTTCTATGGACTTCTCTATGGAAYAGGATTTTGTCTCTAAGCAGTAATTGCAGTCAATTCCTCTTGGTTCCTACAGGTCTTTGAAGATGGAGGATTTAGTTTTGCACACTGTGTTGGTTTTATATTGTTTTAAATCAAGTGATTCAGTATAGCTTCTCCTAAATTCAAATAAAAAAAACTATGTGGCCTACATGTCTTTGTTGGTGATATCATGTTGAGCTGTATAGAAATTAAATTAATAAAACATTGTGGACCAAATTTAAATAGCTTAAAAGCCCGAGGTTCAATCTTTCGCTAGAACGTGTAGAATCTCGTAAACACATAAAAACAGTCAATTATGTAATTTTAAGTACTTTTACTAGAAGAAGAGAGCAAATTGGAGTAAAAGGAGTAGGGAAGTGGGTCACACTACAAGGCCCTAGAGCCTCCRATTGGGTTGTTCATGGGAGAGATCCCTGACCATACACTGCACTGAAAGATGCACATCATTAATGTATTGAGAGAACTAAGAGGTTAAAATCAGATCAAAAGTAGCACTGTGTTTTGATGTTGTTGATGRTGATGCACTATTCCCTGTGGAACTGTTGATCCCACTGGCATTTAAATATCAGAAGTATTTCACAATTGCAATGCTTTCATGTGAGCCAGCAGTTACTCACGTGAGCAAAGCTCAGTGCAGGATTGTAGATGAAAAATAAGGTCTGTGTATTTGCTGSTTGTTTGGGCTCTTCAAATCAGTTCATTCCCAATCCAGTTTCGTTGATCACATTTGGAAACYTAGTGTTTCCAGATCTCTTCCCACTGACCTACAACTCAATTTCCTCTCCTTTTGTCAGAACCTGAAGAGACTCTGAATTCCTTGTTCTTTTTTATTCTCTGAGGAAAAACATTCTTTCAAATACAGAAACTCTAACTTTTGATGCCACCTGAGCCTGTACTTGAGACCTTGACTTCTCTTGCAGTGTTTAACTGCATATTTTTTTTCCCAGTTACACCAATCTCTTGTGTTTCTGTGGTGTTAGAAACTCCTTAGCAGCTTTCTACTTCTTCAGAGTGAATGTGCTGGTATTTATTTTACTCCCCTGAGCACTGTAAGCCTTCGCATTCCGTTGAAATTCTCTTTTTGAAACAATGGTCTTTATGGCTCTTTTTGTTTCCAGCACACATTGCTTAAATAAGATAGGATTACTCTTTTTTCTGTTTGAACTAATGTATTTCAAATAATGAACTACTAGTTTAGTAGTAAGTGCTAGCACAAGGAGATATTCTTATCCAGGTACTATGTATAAATAACCTTTCTAGGCACGTCACATGGTGCTGGGATCTAGAGGAGTACGATGAGGAAAGTGTCCTTTGGTGTATACCATGCTCCTAGTTTTTCCTTAAACTCATCACTAGTAATGACTGTGCGATAGATGGACATGCAATCTAATCTAGTTTATCTGCATTTACAGACAGTTTTGCCCAGAAAAGCTAGAGAAACCAGAACTTCTGACCTAGATTCTGATGTTTTCAAAACAGGATCCTAATGTTAGGTTATTTGAGTTCTGTTCAGGTTTTAAAATTAGCRGGCCTTATTTTCAGCTCTGCTGGACACCCTTGAGACACAAAAAGTGTTTGATGACAAGGATGCTTGGAATATTTGTAAATCAAGTCAACTTGTATAGCTGACTAAATATGGATTTAGCAACCCAGCGTTCTATTCCTATTTGTAAGGATCTTATTCACTTTTCTCCTGTCATGTTAAAAAATGGTCTTTGGTATATCCACCTTTATTCTTTGAAGAAAGAATATCACTTTGTTCAAAATATTGTGTATCAGCAGATCTCTTGAGTCTTTCCAGTCTATGTCACCAAGGTTG